TTGCTTAAACGTAAAGCTTTATTTACTCAAGCTAAACTGTGTAATGACGATTTCGATTTGAAAATTTTGTAATAAGTTGAAAATTTATAATTTTCAATCGACTTGTTATAAATGATTATCAATAAGTTAATCAAAATAGGTTTAATGAAAAAATTGTATAGATGTTGTATACTTTTGTATTTAGTACCAATGCTTTAGTTCAATTTGGCGACACAAGAGTGCTCTTTAGTTTTGAAGGATCTAAATTTAAATTTTGATAGAATCTGAAGTTGTTTTAAGTTTATTGTAAATCATTGTTGTAAAAACTTTTCAACAATTGAGTAATTGTTATTCTAAGCTTGACTTTTTCAATTAACTGTCAATTTCATTAATCATTCTAACATTTTATATCTGTTTTCGACAAAATGGCATATCGTGTTGTGCGACAAACACAAAAAAAGACCTGCGAGACACACTATTAGTACGAAAGAAGTAATTAATGTGGCAACAGGTAAGACTATTTTCGAAGAGCCATGCTTGGGTGTCGAGGTCAAAACCAAATTATTCAAAGAGCCAGGAGTTGTCCTCTTCATCGGTAGGTAAATTCGTTGAATTCTTTCTAAACTTATATTTATATCTTTTTCTGTCTTTCTTTTCAGGAACTAAAACTGATTGTGAAAAGAGTGCTTTCCGTATGTCGCCGGAAATTAAAAATAAAATTGATGAGCTTGACGCCAGGAAAGGCCATAATAAGGAGTCGGTTGGCGATGAGCATAATGAGGAAGGAGTTGAGGTTCATGAAAAAGGTATTTTGTGAGTTGTTTGTTATCGTTTTTTTCTAATTATTTGTTCGCTTTTTCCAGCAACAACGAGTGGCCTATCCCCACTAAAAAAACCAGGACTACTTTCGCAAGTGAAAGTGAAAGTGAAAAAAGTTCGGTGACTGATAACCAAGTCTTTGATCAAACAACTATTGTCGCTGTCGCCTCTGGTGAAATTTTTGATGCTTCGCGACCATTCACCAGTTTTTCGGGAACTTTTAATGATTGGATCGCCGCTCAAAGTGACACAGAGATACTCAAATATTTCCTACTTGAAGAAATAAGAGCTCAATTAATGCGACCTCACGTTTCAAGTGGACAAGCATGGGATTTTAAGGATCTATCTATCACCAAATTATCTGATGATAAAAAACAAAAGAAGTTTGGCACAATTATCAACACCAAATAATTGCTGCTTTTGACGACCTTGGTCGACGGCCACAACCACAGGACACGATACGTGCACATTGTGGCAGGTACGTCAAAGTCAAGTCAAAAAAAATCGCCACCTGTACTTACCCTGCATGCGTACACCCTCCTGATGAAAAATTTTGGCAACAAGGAAGACATTATTAAGCATTTGTTTCGTCGCTACGTTTTATTTGTCTGCTCACGATGTGGTAGATGTTCAAATGAGAAAGCCGGACTTGCAGTGCACCAAAATCAACATTGTGCTATCGGGCGAGATATGGTTATCTCTTCAGGTGATGACGATTCAGACGATGATAGAGATAGCACAAATGAAGCCCCAATAATCACGACATTCAACACATTTATGGAATCAGCTTTGACCCGTGCGAAAAGTTCAGGAAAATTGTCTAGATATGCCAGTTTCGAAACTTTCCGCAAAAAAACGAGCTCAACTTGACAGAATTCGCGCATCTTTATCAATTAGTTCGGATTCGTGAAGGGCGATTGAATCAAGAAGGGAAAAGAATCAACTGGTAAGTTCAGCAAAAACTCACTCGATAATCATTTATTAAATTTTTTTTCCTCTATTTTCTCAGCTCCGATGGAAACAACATTTATTATTTAGACGAAAAAAAGACTTTCCAGATAATCAATCTCATACGAAATGAAAGCATTAGTCTACATGAAGTAACGGAATCTATCGATGGATCATCTAATGAAATATTCACTTGCAAATTTCCAGATTGCAGTTGTGAGTCTAAGTTTACCGCTCCAAATCCAGCGGAAATTACGATTCACATGCAACAGCTCAATCTATGCTTAGCATGTCCAAAATGTCACAAAGGGTTCAAAACTTTTTAGTATTTAAAGCGACATTACCAGAAATCGTGCCTAACTAATGTCAAACTCAATACTCAAAGGAAAAAAATATTAACAGCAAATCGGAAAGACCAATTACAAGCCATTGGATTAAAATCATTGAAACAACGAAAGACCCAGTGATCCTAGCATCCAAAAAAGGAATGTCAGCAAAAAATTTAGATACCTTAATAAGAAAACTTGTAGAAGAGGGAGAATTGACAACTTCAATAAAAAATATGAATCCTAATAGGAACGGAGTAACAATTAGGTTAGTTGAGGAATCTATTGTTAGTTGAGGATACCAAAACAATTATTGAAGAATTAAGATGAAAAAGCATAAATGCAAGCTTCCCTTAGCCATTTGACCCTGTAATATGGATAAGAGAACAAACAGAGAGTCAACAAAATGAGATTCCATGTCATCCAGCAATATTTCTAGAAGAAATAGTTATTGAGAACGGTTTCGATAAAGATGCCAATTTGAGCCAAAATTAAACAAAAAAGGATATCTGCTATACAGAATATCACGGTCAATAAGATACAGAATAATTGAATTAAGAGGTCAGGTAACGGGGAGATGCAAAACATACCAAGTATGTGACTACTTGTATTATATGCAATTATTCAATGCCACAGAGACTGGCGCTTTGGTTGTCAACCATGTAATAGAAAACATGTATGTGAATACTGTGCTCAAATGCACACAACTCAATGCGAAATCAAAACAGATCCGAACAATTATTGATGCATCAAATGTAATAAAAAGGGTCACTCGGCCAGAGCCAAAACATGCCAAAAATACATGGAAAGGCTAATGATGGAAATTGCCAGAACCAATTACATGTATACCTATGTTATCCCACCGTTGTAATCAAAAATTATTGTCTCCTTTCAAATATCCTAATTTACTTATGTTATTCACAAAATCAATTACTATTTCTTTAAAATAATTTACAACAAATGATAAACAATATTCCCTATCACATCTCATGAAAAATTATTAATAATCCAACAAAATATTGTGACACTACCGATTATAACGAATTTCAATAATCAACAGTTATTTAAAATCATACCAAAAAATTGTAATTGTAAAAAATAAAAAAAAGAATCAATTTATTGATTATCAATTAGTTGTAAGTTTGCATATCGAATGTTGAATATCTATTCACACTTGGATGACCAACTATACTGGGTGATAATTATTATCACAGGTCATTTTTGAATTAATTAGATGAATTCTAATGTAATTAAACAAATTACGTTTAGCCATAGACCTTTTTAATGGTAATTAATCATAACTTGAACACATTCAGACGAGAAAAAGAGAGAGAGCGTAATTTGGTATAGAAGGAGTTAGCTTTCTCTTGTTTGTTTCATACTAACTTCCCAGTCCCAATCAACTAGTTCTCCAGCCATCGGTCAATTCTAGGAAGAATTCGGTGGTTCCCTTTTCCTTCGTTTTACCGCCACTTTCCTCATAGCCATCTAGTCGTATAACCACTAAATTCATTGTAATACTATTGTGAATCAATTATAACCCAAGAATTGTAAACTGTATCTTTAACCATGAACATATGTTGTAACTTATAAACTGTAGACCTTTAATGTTAACATTCTTTATTGTACCAGTGTTCAATCGTTATTGTATCCAAATATTGTAACCTTCCTTGCTCTAAATTAAAACGCTTCAGCTTCAGCAACTCAATCTCCGTCCATTTTCCTCGGGATTCTCCCAAAAATAGAAAACCGATAAAAATAATTTTTAATGTGCAAAAAATGCTCATTATTATTCATTCAAAATAAAAACCTCAATCAAATGAATCAAATCTGACGCTAAATATGATTACATATATGTAATCCCACCATAATAAATTGAATCTCCTCCAACCAATTATTAAAAACTAAAATAAAATCGTCTCCTTCCTTTTTTCCCCCTCAAATTCAAACTTATGATTAAATAAATTATACCAACCAATCTCTTCAAAAAATTAAAATCAATGAAAAATACAATCAAATCAACAAGCATTATATGAAAGTCAAAAAACAATTATTTGATGACAAAATAAATTCTGTATTCAAAAAATAAACAAAGAAAATTGTATCCTCGTCACTTTGTCAATAAACTTTAAATGAAACAATAAAACAAAATTTAATCTAAGAATTATTTTTTGTCAAAAATAGCTAAATGAATTAATGATTGATCCTCGTCAATACGAATGGAACTTGCAGGAACAGTGAGAAATGGCTCAAAGTCTTTAACCTCTTTAGTCTCCAAAAACAATCATGATCCAAAAAGAGTAAAATCAGTGAAACATTTCCGTCGAGGAAAAAAGTCAGAGGAATACCCCCGGGCAAACCCTTCAGCAATGATTTCACATCTGAAGATGATAATAAACTTGGATGAGTTAAACCAATGACATCTCCATCGACCCGATTCTCTATACCAAAAGCCTCTTTGACACGAGCAAAAAAACTGAACTTTATCACCACAGACTGGAATAATTTTTGTATCTCATTAATCAGGCGCAAGATTTAAAAAGATCCGTGCTAAAGGCTCATCACCGGTCATTAAAGGTCCTGTAGAGACAACCAGAAATAATTATTACTAGGGCAGACGATCTTCGGCATAATCGGAGCGTTTGTTATGAAAAATAAATGAAAGATTAATATTGAATTTAAAAAGTAAGTTTTTGGTATTTATCTCAGCTATTTCACGCTATCACAGCATAAAATACCCACTATATACCACGTAAAGGTGTCAACCATGTAGAGCATCTGAAAAAACAAAAGAACAAAAATAATGATTACAAAATGTTTAGAAATTCATAGACAGATAAAGTTCGCTTGATTAGAATAAGATTTGAATAATACAAACAAAACATTATGATCAAAATGTTTTTGATTTTTATATTTGATAAAGTTCGATTACAAATGAGCAATTATTGCTGCTTTGCTACCCATTGCTTTTTCTGTTTCACCGATGTTGATTACAGCTTTATCCAACGTTAAACCTTGTGATTTATGGATATTAACTACATGTACCACATTTATTGGGAACTGTTTTCGCCAGCAATCGTTTCCGTCTGACTTCCAATGCCGCGTAATTGGAACTATTGGGATTGAATTATCCGAGTAGCATGGTCTTCTGTAGTTGTCGAATTGAATGAACAGAGCAACGGGTATTGTTGGTGGCCGTTGACCAGATTCATATAAAATAGATGTCAATGTACCCAACGCACCATTGACGATACCCGCTTCAGTCCAAAGATTGTAACGTAACATAACTCGACAACCTCTTGCGAGTTTCGGAATGGGTTCTAATGACTGTGCTTTGTCTGAGCCTTGTCTCCTGGCTGCATTGCTGCTGTTTTCCGACGGGATATCTGCAACAGGATAACCACATAGTCGGAGGTGATCATCATTAAAATCGTTGGTAAATTTATTAGCAATAATCTTAAGGCATTATCTAAGCTTTTCTTCTCATGAGAAGAAAGAATACCCATTCTACGAGTGTTGATATTATGTTGCACCTACCTTGCTGATATTTTATGTATGCACAGATTTTTCTTATGATGTACAAAAAATGGTAAAAGTCTTACAGTTGTAGACCTAATAGGGAAAAAGTCCGACATGACCTAATAGGGAAAAAGTTAGACATTTTTGTGAAAATTTTCATAACAACGCATAAATGCATACAAACGATGTGGGGACTGTCTCATGATGCGAATTGTTTTTGTTGAAATTTTTCATTCGATTGCTTGATACTCAATCGATTAATCGATTGAGTATCAAGCCTATTATCAAGCCTATTAAACCTATTTTCAGGCTTTAGTTAGTATGTAAATACCTTATTTATGAGTCAATTCTTACTAATTTACGAGTTAGGTTAGCAATTTCTTAGAAACATTTAGCTTCTCATGTAGTTCTTTTAATAGCAAAATAAGTTTGATTCAACCTTATTCAAATCTCTTTACTTGAATAATTCGCTTCTTAAATTCCACAACTTTACATAAAATAGATCGTACTTTAATTCTTAGTTTATCTAAGAAATCCCGGGTCTGACGCACCTTTTATTCCTAATTCTTTAGGCTGAAAATGCATTTAGCAATCAAAGACCAGGGTCTGCCATTCATCCCCTCTACGAAAAGTCCGCAGTCCCTTTTGGAAGTGTCTATATTCATTTCCCTATACAATTATTAACTTTAAATAATTATTCGATCAATCCAAAAGCGATTAGAATCATTTCAGACCAAAAATCATAAATCTTGATTCAAAACTGGCGTTTTTGAACTCAATTTCCATGTTGATTCATTTACTAACAGATGGCGCCACCGTATTAGTCTCCTTTTTCCTTGTTCACTATATTTGTTTACATTTATTCCCGCACTTTTGTCAAACATCTCCTTAATCACACTATTTATTCTTATTGTTGAAGTATATTCACATTTTCTTTCTTGTTCTAATTAAAATGTCTCCGATTAAAAATCATGGTGACCACAACTATTTTTGTGTTCCTTTTTGTCATCCAAACATTGTCGAGGAACGTACAATTTATGAAACAAACCCCAGGACTGGTGAAGTTCACAGGTTGGAGTAATTGGAAGGATGGTCCATCCTCGAGCCTCAATTCAAAGAGCAGTAATTTCCGCCCCAGTAAGTACTTCAAGTAGTGCAAACCACGATCTTTCGTCACTGATTGCGGAGGCGAAAGCTTAGAGGAAATTTTCTCACAGTTGCTAAAAATATGGAGCAAAACCCGGACTTTGGTTTTTGGGCTGGTTTTACCTTTGAACCTCCGAATTTAAGATGTGCTTTTTGTGAGAAAAAAGTGGATTTTTTCGAGGCCAAGCGTTGGCAAAATTTATCCCAACATTTGGCACGCAAACACCCAGAAAAATTGTAAAATGGAAATGGGTTACAATCTGCTGATTTCGACGAATGGAAAAATCCACGAAAACAATGATTTCTTTAAGTTTTAATAAATGCTTTTGCTTTTTAATTAAGCGTTTCTACTCTTTCTTTGCTTTTAACGCGTACTGACAAATTTCAGCTGTTGATCCCAGTCTTGATCCCGGATTGGATCCAAGTTCGGATCCGATGATCCATAGTTTTGTTATTCGATAATCGAATGAATTTATTCTCTTTAATTTAGGCCAACTAACGATTGAATCACCATTCTTTTTAATAAATAAATTAATTTTGAACACGACAGTTAATAACATTAAGGCCTGACAGCATAATTAATTCATTATTGAATGAAATACGAGTTTTAAACACAGGATTACATATTCTAAAAGGTTTCTGGTTATGTTTCAGGAGTGAAAAGGGTAAATTGTGAAAGAGAATAGTTTAAAATGATTTTTAATTATAATTTGCTTCCGCATTACTGTTCTAAATACCCTAAATTAACTTAATTTAAATTTTAGTCTGACACATCCAGTCTACCGATATGAGTCCGGATTCGGATCCGATGTGCGATGTTTTCATACATTCGATATCGAACGACAAAATTTCGTTTTTCCACTGTTTTAAATTAATTACTAGTTATTTCTTGATTATTTTTATTTAATTAAATCATTTAAAATATGCTCTACAACATAGTTATTGTCTAACATCAAAAATCACTGATTAAGTATAAATTTCTGACAATTAACCAGTGTCAGACCGTATCTTTTGGCAGTTTCGGATTGTAAATTGTTGTGAAATGGTTACAATTGTAATGTTTATGATTTAAATTAACTGTTTATGCCTCAATTTAAATCATGGCCAGATCGAGTTTTGTATAAAAGTACCAATCTAATCCTGATCTCGATATTTATCCGAATATGAGTCCGATGTTCAATTTTTACATGCAACCGATTATCGAACAAGTTGAATTTCTTTATTTCTTAATATAAACGTTAATTATCAATGTTACTTGCTTTAATTTAATTTATAAATTCATTATAAATGTACGTCAACCTAATATGATAATTATTGCATGTACTAATTTATCCTTTCGGTGTGAATTAGTATTAATGCTTATTTTTACTTGAGTTTTTGTTTCTTTTTGTCATTTTTTTAGTGGTTTAATTTAGTGTGTAATTGGTGATAAATAAGGGGTATTGATTAGGGTCTGATTTGATTAAGCAAACCACAATCGTGGTGGAGGAGGAAAGGAAGGGATTCGTTCCCGTCTGTCAATAATTTTTCGCAACTTTACATGGTCAGACTTTCTGTCAGACCACATACATTTGATAAAATAATTAGACACATAATTATTAAGATAGATAATGAGGTTAACCAGGTATAATAAACAAACGAATCTTCAATTCTCATGAAACCGATCGTTAATTGTTGACACCGAGTATCAATGTCACAAAATAAAGGTTTTAGTGTTAACTTAGATGAACCAATTTTACTTCGGGTGATGTTCTCTACAGCTATCTCATTCAACACATTGATTGAAATTTCACCGGAGTTCCATGCAGATAGAAATCGAGTTACTTTTTCTGTGATGATAATCAATTTAGTTTGAACTGCAACTAATTTAATTTCATCTGCTGTGGATCTTCTTCTTCTGTTATTAATATACGGAAAAGTTTCAATGTTCATTACTTGGAGTTCGGGTTTCAAGGAACAGACCGAACTCAAAGGTCTGACGAAGATTTCGTTTAGTAATTTATGGCAACTATTCTGCATTTCGAGTAATTGAAATTTCTGACAAGGATTTCCATATGAAATTTGAATGATTTCAATATTAGATTCATTTAACGGAAAGAGTAAACCTGGTACTGGAAACATGAACAAGATGGATAATGTGACAAATTTATTCAAACTCCCTTTCGTTGGCCTCTCATTAGTTGTAGTATTCGCATCACGCTTATTCCAGATTGATGTTGATTCTAGAGGTATAGTTCTCCTGAATAGAGTGCCGTACTTAACATATATGACCTTGGAAATTAAACAAAGTATTATTATTCTCAATTAAATTACAGCTCGAAGTGACAGGCACGACTACAAGAATGTCAGTCTCTACCAATTATAACTATTGACAGGCATTGTACATTTTTACTCCTCTCCGATAAATGACATACTTTGGTCCGGTGTAGTGTAATTTACACAATTCATTGTCCTGTTGTCTCATTAAAATTCAAAAGAGTGAAAGGATCAGCTACCATCAATTTGGACTCTGTGTCTATTTTTCAGAATTTCAAGACAAATCTCAACTTTTGGGCCATTGGATTGTGATAACAATTCATTGAATAGGCTGCCTCTACTGTACATTGTTCTCCACAAGGTAAAGTTAAATTTAAAAGGTCAAAAATTGCTGGATCTAATTTATTTTTAGTCCAAGCACGATTTATAGCTCGCAATTGAGTCAAAGTAGTTTTAAATTTGAAATCATGCTGGCAATCGTGAATGAGGTGGCTGGAATAGTATTTCTTATCCGAGCTAAAAGTTTATTTTGTTTAGCAACCTCTACTTGTAAGACTCTAACTTGCTGGTCAATCGTGTCATTTTCAAAGAGTTTTTGATTAGTGGTTAAGTTTTGGATTAGCGAGGCTTGTTTCTCTAGGTCTGCTCTCAAAGAGTTTACCTCAGTCTGTGTTTTTGAACTGACTGCAAGACTGACAGCGCCAATTCCTAATGAAAGGACACTTACTACACCAATTATTAACATAATAGCTTCTACCACAAGAAACCTTTCATACCTGACTTGCATTTTGCTCTCAGCTTCAGTCGTAACATTTTTACACATTTGAGATATCTGTTTTAGAAAAGAAACTTCAAAGGCACTTTTACACCAATCGTGTAGAAAATCTGGTTGCATATTATGCTCTATTAAGGCTTCAGACAATCCTGCACATGGTTCATAATATTTGCTCCCAATATCAACCTCAAATTCTCCATTTATTATTGGAGTAGTGGCTGGTCTCCAAATAACTGGATTTGCTTTTATGAAAGCGTTCTGAACAATTGTAATTTGGCAAAGTCATAGTAAAAAGAGGCTGTGAGTGAGCAAATAGCTTAACCTATTTGGGGCTCGTCGTTCTCTCTGACTCTGAATTGATAATTCTGGTTCGATTGAATTAGGTGGAGTAATTCGAGGTGAAGGAAAACGGTAAAGGGTAGCTCCTTCTAAGTCTGACTGTTCACTTTCACTATGATTAGTATTGATTGGTGACATATTACGTTTTTCATTTGAAATATAAGTGTCAGACCTACGATTAACATGCGCAGACAGATGGTCTGAACCGTCAGACATGGGACTTGGTTGAATAGGAAGCTCATCCCATTCAAGTTCAGGTTCAGAAATAGGCGCAGGCAGATGGTCAGACTCTTCATCTAATTCAAGATGTCGCTCTTTGTACGGCTTCATACGACTTATGTGGACTAAATCTGATTTGCCGGATTGATTGTCTTCTTTCACTCGATAAACATTTAATCCGCAGCGCTCTATTACAACATAAGGGCCATAAAGAAATGTAATAACTTCTCTGATCTCCCTACTTTTCTTCTT